GAGTTGCAAACCCCAAGTAATGTACCTCTGATAACTGTCATTTTACTGAGCATAACTGCATTCTATCCCAAAGAACTGTATCACGTGCCACATTAACAACAAGAATACCTTTGGTTGTCCATATTACAAAATAACCATAATCAACCTCACAAATATTTAACTGGCCTTGCACCTGATAAAAATAGATATGACTTGAATTTAATTCTGCTTTTCCATCTGATGACTGCTTCACAGGGTAACCAACATTACCTATTGCTTCAGCTGGGTCATTCAATCTGTATTTATATGGACATTTTATTTCAATCACTGCTACTATTCTCCCAGTAGACAGGGAAACAATTTTAGCATCAGGAGTACACCCAAATTTGGGCCATTTAGGATTAACTATGAAACCAGAGTCTTTCACTTCTAGTCCTTCTGCTTGCAACATATTCTTGTATTTTTTTTGAAATGCAGTCAGGGCTTCTTTTTCATGTTGTATTCCCCATTCAGTTTCTTTTGTAACAAATGAATTGCAGGGGAGCATCTGTTTTAGGAACAATTCAAGATTTTCTGCCTTTCTACGTTTAAAAACATACCCAAACTTTGATGCAGTTATTCTTACACTCCGATGATTAAACCATTCTGGAGATTGTGTTTGTCTCACTGTACTTAATTCAATACTAACAGCCTGTGATTCATTTATATTCACATTTTCCTCCAAAAATAAATCATATACACTGACAGGACAAGGCTTACTTTGACTACATGGAACAGAGTGTTCATTTAGGGAAGAATTAATATTGATGGTTGTTTCTAAACTATGGGGATCATATTGAATTATATCAGAAGTCTCAATTTCTACTTCTACACTCGGTGTTATATAGTAGCTGTTCTCTAGTGCTTCATCTGGAAGTGTAGTTACTGTTTTGGGACTACAACCAGGAGCAGTGTTCGAGAACCTGCTAACATCAAAATGTGTTAGCCAATCACAAGATCCATTACAGTTCAAAAGTTTATCTCTCAAATTCAAAATTCTAGAGCATTTCTCCTCATTTTCTTGTACCTTTTTCTTTTTATAAATATCTCTAGGATCTGCACATGATTTATGTTTCTTTCCATATTGTGGCTTATATACAGTAACTTCAGACATTGGTTCTGGCACCACTTTGTTGTTTTTTGTTGCAGTCCACTGACATAATATTTCTGTTGTAGCCGGAGCAGTTGGAAGAATGTTATACCCTCTCTCAAAAAAATCCACTAACGCAAACATCAATGCAGCTAGATGAGTGCAGGCTTGTCCCAATCTAATGTTATAACAGACAAACAAAAGAGTGTAAAAAATCAAATTAAACATAAAACTCATTAAATCAAGTGTTTAAGATTACAGTTTAGTGTTAGATTCTTGATGATTGTGCTTTTGATATGCTAACGCAAGAAAACACAATTACTTTTATTTTCATACAAGTAGGGTATAATGACATGGGAATTGTTCTAAAACGAGAATGACTAAACAAAGATATGGTACATGTATTAGCATTTGTTAAACTGTT